GAGGAGGAAGAGGAAGGCAATAGGAAGGGGGGGCAGAAAGGAAGTAGTCACTCACGTTGCCTGCCGGGAGTTGTAGTTTTATCTGGGTTGGCTTTGCTGTCTTCCCCACTCCGGGGCCCTAGCAAAGGAGTATGAGAGACCATCTTTCCTAGGATGCACTGCGGTCCATTCAGCTTCACTTCCTCTTCAGGCGGAGGAAGGATACAGGGAAGCTTTCTGGTTAAAGCCGAGTTACAGGGTATGGGTGTCGGAAGCAGAGGGTCTGAAGTTCTCGCCGTCTAGAAGGGGAGGGAAATGAAAGGCTCTCAGTGAGAAGGTACAGTAAATAAATGTGCAGCGATGTGGCGGGCTGGGAAGGTGAATGAAATGGTCTTCTCTAGGCTAGCGGTCATAAGAAAAAAGGGGAAAAATAGTGGATCGATTCTCGGAGTGTTTAATGTATTTTTTTTTTTTTTACTGCCATACTTTTTTATTCTCATTCTTCCCGCTATTCCAAGCCACTGAGGCGCCTTCGCCCATTTTCTGCCTTTTCTGTCTCTCCACTGAGGGTCTCAAAGGTGCCATTTGTTTCCTCCTTCCCTGGACGCCTGCAGTTTACAGTATAAATAATACCTCCTTCCCTCAGAGAGTTATAGCAGCCATCATCACATTCTTAATGTATGTCTGTCATAGCCATACACGATATCAGTGGCTCTTCGTAATAACCTTGTTAGGAAACACGTCCCGAAAGGAAATGACATGTTCAAGTTCACAGTCCAGCAAGTGACAGGATAGGAACAAACCTACATCTGTACCCATTTTACAAACAGGGACATAGGCAGGAACGGCAAAGGCTAGTATCAACAAAATAGTAGCTAGCCCCTGGCTCCTATTATAGTTGTTGACAAAGAACAACCAGCCTAAGAAAAAAGTCTTATAAGAGTTTGAGCCAAACTGACACAATTGCTGGGAAGCAAAATCTCAATGAATTGAGAAAATGTTCCAGGAGATGGCTGTTTTATAGGTTATTGTAAGCATTAGGACCAAAGGAGGAGGCAGAAGAGGATTATGTAAAGCTCACTGGTGGTAGGTCGGAGAGGTGGGAGAAAGCACTGTGGGAAGATGTCTGAGATTGGATAAAAGGTAAGATGGAGAGATACCTTGTCCATTGGGAGGTACAGGATGACATGTACAGCACAGAGATGGCATGTGGGCAGCAAGAGCAGTGTGGCCTGTGCTCTGGTGCAGGCGGTGCCTCTGAGGGGCCGAGAAAGCTACATTTCAAAGGTGTGTTATCCTAGATGCACAAAGGCACAGACTGACATCTGTCAAGGAATAAGCTACAAGCCTAGGACAGGACCACCTTCCGTGACCTGCTTTATGTTAGGAATGTCTGCATTCGGACAATGCTGTGTGGTTACTTTGGTCTCTTTGGGTTTGTTAAGACCAGCCATGGAGGCCTCCCCTGAGCTTGTCAAGTTTAGTACGTGACCCCTTTTCATCCACAGAGTGTACATAATGTGCTCGAATACATCGTCTCGTCCTCACACCAGTCCTGCGATACCTTTACCAGGTATGGTTGACTTCCTTACAGTTACAGAAACAGACTAGAAAGAATTGACTTGTCCAAGGTTCAGATCACCAGTGTTATCTCAGACTCAGTGCTTTTTACAGTACTTTTCTTTACTAAAGAAAAGAAGAGCAGTTAAGGTCAGACCTTTTGTTAAGCCTCAGGGTCTCCTTAGTAAGAACTAGAATCCATAAGGAGGTGGAAGAGCTTTATCTTCTTACTTGTGTGCTAGGAAACTGCCTTTTCATGCAAAAGCACATATGTTAGTTGAAAGCTAGTGTTATTTAAATTATTTTACAGTCAGTCCCTTTCACTTACCAATCTGGAAATTCTTGTTTTCAAAACCTTAGATAAGTAAACTTGCTCAAAATTTCTGAAACATTTGGCACAAAATAGATAACGTAAGTGCAGTCCCTGAGATCATTTGAGTCTTCCGTATCTGCCAAGGTAAGGTTAGGTTTTTAGAGTAAATAGAATTAGATGCTTGAAATGAACCATCTGTAAGATAGATTCTCCTAAAGAGTCTTAGTATTGACTTTCACCTGGTTATTGTGTATGATTTTCTTCAAAAGACATAATATGTTGGGAAGAGAAATCCTTCAAATGTTCATTATTTTCTCGCCCAATTCTACTTTATCCATGCAAAAAAAAATGTTACCTTTAAACAAGATAGGCAGTGGTGTTACTGGTTCTTGCCTTCTTGAAGGAAAGATTTCAATCAAGAGATGAAGTGTAGAAAAGCAAGCAAGAATTTATTGACTGCAGCAAAAACACACTTAGGACAGTGAAAAAAGTAAGGGCATAGAAAAGCAACAGGGGAGCCTAGGTCAAGGGTGGGCAACCCCTGGCACGCGTGCCAAACATGGCACGCCAGTAACTTTTGCTGGCACGCGAAACCCTCTCTTATAATCTTCCATTTACAATTTTTTTCTTAATATCGACTTTTTTATTTTTCAGATAAATTCAGTGTAGGTGCATCTTAGATAAATAATTTTAATTAACAAGTTATCTTAAAGACCATAGACATGGATTGATGGGAGAGCGGAAAAGCAATTTCTATGCCTCTGCCTTAACTCTCAGCGCGAGCATATCTCTGAAGGTCACGAAATAGAAACCTGATGTAAAATCTCTGTCATCAGTGATGCAGCAGCAAAAGTCCCACTGATAATGTCAAACGGAGTCATAAAGTTTTCTGTCGGACTATCATTGTACATGTATACATTAAAAAATAAATGTATTTTTCATCATTATATACTGTGTTTTTGTCGCTCGAATGAATTTTATTATTTCTTCAATGTTCTTCACATACGTACACCTTAAGAGATATCAAGTAGGCGTAACATGTTCTCAAAAATTTAGGGTTGGCACACAGAAGAATTTTGAGTCAGAGATTTTGCTGGTTTTGGCACGCACTCACAAAAAGGTTGCCCACCCCTGGCCTAGGTGGTCTGCTTTACGTCACTGAGAAATTAGAGAAAAGAGAGCCTTGGCAACAGATTGGGGGGCTTAGCCAGGGATGAGCTGCCGCTGCCCATTGCTCCCCTGGGTGCAAGTCTCATGAGTCCCTTGAAGTTTAGGAAATAAAGTGCCTGTGGGGAAAGGGAATGGCATAGGCATGCTCCCTGGAGGGAGATCACACTGGCACCGTCGTTTTCAGGAGTTTTAAAGGCTGGGCTTTTAGGGGAGTTGTTAGGGGATCAGTAGAATTTTCACCAGCTTTATGCTAATATACCAAGATGAGATTTAGTCTCTTAATTTGTCTGTTCTTGGGTGTGGTTGGGAAATGGCACTAATTGGATTTCTGTTTTCCGTCTCCCTGAATAGGTGACTTAGCTATTTACCCTCCGGTTGGGGAGAAGTGCAAACCATTTACTCTTAAGTTTCCTTGGTTTAGGGAAGATAGGATTTATTATGGGGCTGTGAACTGCTATTTGACTATCTTCCTTAGTCTCCCTGTTCTGCTTGTCCTGGAATTTCCCTAGCTTCTTACTGTCCTGTAACAATGGTATTTACCTTGAAGGGGATCATTTTCAACAAAGTTTTTCATAAAGAATTAATTTATGCAGGAAAAGTGGTTTATATCTGTATTGACAATAGTTTGGTAATTGCTTAAGTGGTCTTGGAACGGATTTTTAATCAAGTGTTTATAAGTTGAGGAATTGGATATGTCCTTTAAGTGGAAATAACTTTTGCCATGACTGAGAAGGTACACCTGCAGTAAAATCCCATTTTTCTCATTCAGAATTCAAACAATTGAATTATTAACACCTCGGAGCATGTGAAGGCTGGCAGCAGTGTGCAATTTGAACACTGTCATGCATTTTTATGTCTTATCTTCACCAATCCAAATTTTCCTTATGGGTGATACATATGAACAGTGAAGTAGATATTTTTAAATTGCACCTGAATATGTCATTCTGAATCATACCTTGACAAAATAACCACTTCCCATCCTACTGAAAAAATGGACAGCCTTTCTCTGGTTTGTCAAGCACAATCCACTTGATTGATCTAGTGCTAATTTTCCTATGTGGGGCCTTGATTAGGTGGAAGCATTCTTCTCAAACTAAATTTGATATTTAAACCCATTGGTTACTATAGTTCTTCTAGTTTTAAGAATTACACTTTGCGGGGGGGGGGATAGAAATACCTTGGTGTAAAGCATATTTAATTGATGGGGGGAGGAGAGGGAGAGTAAGTTTACAGGCAATTCTAGAATTGAATTAGATCATTTAACCTGAAAATCACTTCATTAATGAATCTGTAAATGCAGTCAAAGTTTTCAGAGTAAGAAAGCTAACATAAATAAAGAAAGGGTGATGATATTAACCATGCCAAGTTCAACTTGTGAATCAATTGGCTGCCTTCAGCATGTATCCTCACCGGGGATCAAACTGCCAAGGCATGTGCTCTGACCAGGAATCGAACCGGGGACCTTTCAGTACACAAGATGATGCTCAACCAGTTGAGCTACAGTGACCAAGGTGGGTAATACTGTTTCTTATAAGGCCATAAGAGTGCTGAAAGCTTTTAATCTACTTACATGAGATACACATGCTTCCTTCCTCTTCCTCCAAAATTCCCTGATCTTAATTGCCTAATAATGTTCATAAGATCTTTGTGGGATGCATAATAGTTCTTGTCTCAGTATTACAGATGGGAAAAATGAGCTGGGCACCTAATGTTAGCTGCTCTGATATATAACTCTTCTACCACCATCACCCTAGCATCACTTGTATCTGAATTACAAAATTCACTTAAAACTAAAATTCGTTTATCCCCCATAATTTCTAGTATGGCACTTTTAAACTTGCTGGGTTGCTTTTAACAAACCTAGTAAATGTAAAAGCTAAAGACATCTACTTAACACAAAAACAAGTCATCCACTTCACAACAGAACAGGTGTCGTTGTTTTTCCTCTTTTATTTTTTTTTATTTTATTTTTTTTATATTTTTATTGATTTTTACAGAGAGGAAGGGAGAGAGAGACAGAAAGTTAGAAACATCGATGAGAGAGAAACATCGATCAGCTGCCTCCTGCACATCCCCCCCTGGGAATATGTCCGCAACCCAGGTACATGCCCTTGACCGGAATTGAACCTGGGACCCCTCAGTCCGCAGGCCGACGCTCCATCCACTGAGCCAAACCGGCTTCGGTAGTTTTTCCTCTTTTAAATTGGAAAAGGAAGTGAAGTATCACAGAGAAGTTATATCCAAGGGTGGAAGGAGGACTTTAGGAACAAGAATTGCAGAGAGTATTTGAAGAAGAGTGATTGGCAGTATTGGGGGATTGTTTTAAATCAGCTACATTCTTTCTCCTGTGAAATGTACATCTGTACCAAGAGTTGACTATTTACTCCAAATCTCTACCCCACACAATCAGATGTCAAGTTAGTTACAAGCTTTTGTTGAAGTTTGGGGTGGATATGGGAGGGACTTAATTACTGAAGTAGCTTTTATAGGAACTTAAAGGCCAGCCCTATCCCAAAGGAGCTTACATTCTAATAGAAGAAATAGCCTGATCTAAACTGTTTATAAATACAAGTAGAATAAAGCATATAATCAAAGCGACACAGGAAAATAAATATCACAAATTCCATGAAAAATGTATTGAGGGCTTATAAGGCAGGTGCTTTTAAGTATATTACCTTAATCTTTAAAACAATCCTGTGAGATAGATAGCATTGTCCTACCTAGGAGAAGATGTAATGGAAAGGTTAACATTATCATCGTTATTACCACCCAACTAGCAAGTAGCAGAGCTGGGCTTTAAGTCAAGATTTTCTTCCATGTTCAGCCCTCCCTCTTTCCACTACCTCACAACTGCTTAGTAATTTGAGAGAGAATTAGTCAAAAAGTGAGTTCAAACTAGTGGCCAATGGCCAAATTTGGCTTAGATGCATTTTTATTTGTCACTATTTTAGCATATTTGCTTTAGAATCCTGTCCTGGGTATGTGCGGGGGGAGATATACACACACACACACATAAATAGAGCCCGCCAGCATGGCTCAGTGGCTGAGCGTCAACCTATGTATGAGCCAGAAGGTCACCATTTAATTCCCAGGTCAGGGCACATGCCCAGGTTTCAGGCTCGATCCCCAGTGTGGAGATCATTGATGTTTCTATCTATCTTTCCCTCTCCCTTCCTCTCTGAAATCAATAAAAATGTATTATTAAAAAAAAGAAAACCTCACTGCTTTTAAAAAAAAAACAACACATAAAACACAGATATAGTCAGTATGATTTTGAGGTTTAATTTTACTTAAAACAAAATTGTGCCTTATGAGTTCTAAGGGAAATGACCATTTCCCTAAATAAAAACAGGATATTCATTAAACTTAATAGTGGAAGAAGAATTTCTGTGGTGAACAATTTCATAGTTACTGTTGCCATTATGCTATCCCAGTGAACACTCCTCCCCCTTCCATACCCACGGACTTTATTAATTACTTAGTGATAAATGTAGTAAACACAGATAGTAACATAAAGCTAGGTAATGTGACTTATGTGGCTTATACAGTTTTCATGCTGCTTGGCCTACCTCCATGTGGTGAAAGTCACATTCCACCAAGGTAACATCTCAGCTTTGCCCAATAGAACTGTCTGCAGTGATGGAAGAATCCTATGCATGTCCTGTCCTATATGACAGCCACTAGCCATGTGTGGCGATTAGGCACTTGAAAAACTGAAATGCTCATTTTATTTAAATTTAAGTAGCCACATGTGCCTAGTGGCTACCATATTGGACAGCACAGAACTAAGTCCTCAAAGCGCATATTGAAATTAATGAGCCCCCAAACTCCAGTGAGTCCTGGCTCTGGTAGAGGGTAAAAGGGATGGGGACTGACTGCAAAAGGAAACAAGGGGACTTTTGGGGATGATGGAAATGTTCTTTATCTTTTTTTGTTGTTGTTGTTGCCAGCTTTATTGAGATGTAATTGACATAAATATACACTTTAAAACTTAATAAGTTTGAGTTGTACAAGTTGATTTATGTATATACAGTGCGTGCCTCCCAAAATGTATACACACTTCAACAACTGATAGCTCAATTTTGAAAATGAGGTTTGTGAGGCGGCTGATGGTCGAGCAATTTCCGCCCCAATCCCAACTAAGCCTTCGCCAGGACAGCCGGGTGCCTGAGGGAGTGGAGCGGGAGGCTCCGGGTGGCGGCTGGTCCATCCAGCAGAGATGCTCATTGCTCCATCTGCGTCTGCGAGAGGAAGGGCTCGGGGAGACCCCGGGACCGCGAGCGGCGCTTTCAGCACATTGTGAGATCCCTTGGTTCTGGTCGCCTGAGGTGGCGGTGGCTGAGCGTCCCCTTGGATGGCGTCTGTGGGGACGCTTGGAGGGGACAAATCTTGATTATAATGATGGTGACATGGCTATACACCTTTGCCAAACTCATCTGTACTCTTAAAATGGGTGTGTTTGATGTACATAAGTAATATCTAAATAAAGTTGATTTTACAAAGTAAAAGAAAAAAGTTGAGTTTTGGAGACATAGTTCCCCCTCATGTCTGTCTAAGCCTTCTGCAATCCCATTTTTCCCCCTTAGAACCACCAAAGTCATGGCTTCATTACTGACCCTGTGTGATTTGGCCCCTGCTATTTGTTTGACATTTTTTCCTGGCTGTGCTTCAGCCACACTGGCCTCCTGGTTGGTCTTCACACAGTCCAAATACATTCCTATCTCCAGGCCTTTGAACTTGCTCTTCAGCCTGGAGAACTCTTCCCCAAGTATTCTTTTTAATGTCTGCTCAAATCTCAGACATGATGCCATTCCTGCCAGCCTTTCTAAAACAGTACCTCTGTCCTTTCAGCTTCCCACTCCCTAATCCTGCTCACTTTCTTTACAGCACTAATCACTATCTGAAATTATATAATTACTTGTCGATTGTCCTCCTTCCCCATTAGACTACAAAGCTGTTCATAAGGGCAGGGAGTTTATTGATTGCTGGATTCCCTGGGCCAAGCACACAATAGCCTCAATAAATATTAAGTGAATGAATGAATGGCTATCATCCACGGCAGTATTTTGTGTTGCCCAGCCACTGTGGCTTGGTAGTTGAGCATCGACTGTGAACCAGGAGGTCACCGTTCGATTTCCGATCAGGGCACATGCCCGGGTTGCGGGCTCGATCCCCAGTGTGGGGCATAGAGGAGGCAGCCAATCAATGATTCTCTGTCATCATTGATGTTTCTAACTCTCTCTCCCTCTCCCTTACTCTCTGAAATCAATAAAAATATTTTTTTAAAAAATTTTTGTGTTGCTATTTTGAAACTAAAACAGTGACATTGTTTGTGATTTTCCAGGTGAACACCTTAAAACATGAAGTTTTGAGTGCCTGAGTTCATGTTGAGTTTAGGATCTTGTTTCTATCAGATAAAAACTAAAGGACATCATGACAAAGTGTAGTAAAGATTTCACAGTAATTTTGATAGCAAGTGGAGTCATCCATCACATGTCACGCAGTAGTCTAGACAGGCCAAGATCAAAAGACCAGCACTGCCTGGCCAGTGTGTGTCAGTGGTTGAGCCTCGATCTATGAACTCCCAAGAGGTTACTCTTTGATTCCTGATCAGGGCATATGTCCGGGTTGCAGGCTCGATCCCTAGTAGGGGTCATGCAGGAGGCAGCTGCTCAATGTTTCTGCCTCTCCCTTCCTCTCTGAAATCAATAAAAATATATTTGAAAAAGAAGTTGCTTTAAAAAAAAAAATAACCAGCACTTCACCTGTCAGTGCCACATTCCAGTTAGAAGCAGACATTGCACAAAACACACACACAGACATATGCTTATATTCACAACAACTTGGTAGCTGTAAGAGAACCAGTAAATACACAATGAAAAATTGGTTCCCAGCAATAATTACATTAGATACTATTTAATTCAGATCTCAAATACTCAAAAACAGTAACCCTATCGCCGGCTTGGCTCAGTGGATAGAGCGTTGGCCTGCGGACTGAAGGGTCCCTGGTTTGATTCCAGCCAGGGGCACATGCCTGGGTTGTGGGCTCGGTCCCCAGTGGGGGGCGTGCAGGAGGCAGCCGATCAATGATTCTCTCTCATCATTGATGTTTCTATCTCTTTCTCCTTCTCCCTTCCTCTCTGAAACCAATAAAGAAATATATATATTTTTTAAAAAGTAACCCTATCTTATAGTGAATAAGACTGCTTTACAGTTATCAAGTGATAGTCAATTAAAATTCACATTCCAATATTTTTTAGCACTAGAATCTTTATTAAAACATAAGAACTAATTATCTAGCCCTGGCTGGTGTGGCTCAGTTGGTTGGGCATCATACTGTGCACCAAAAGGTTGCTGGTTCGAGGAGGGCACAGGCCGAGTTTCGGGCTCAATCCCCAGTAGGGGGCATGCAGGAGGCAGCTAATCGATGTTCAGCTCGCACATCTGTGTGTATCTTTCCCTCTAAAAATCCATAAAAAAATTTTTTTTTAAAAAAGAACTAATTACCTAGAACGAACAGCAAAAGACCTGGGAAGTATCATTTGCATTGACATTTTAAAGTAAACAATACAGAGACGCATTTAATATAGATCAGAAGTGGAATCAAAATGCTCATAAATTTAACACTTTACAATTCAAGTTAACATTAATTTTAAATGGCTGGACCAAGTAACCACTGCAATTATAGTACCTTTGCCTCTTCTTTTTCCCTTTATTTAGAACTCAGGGATTACTTTTGGTGTAAAAGAAAATAAAGTTCACGAATTACGTCAAAGAAATACCTGTTGCATCTTCATTCCAGTAACAGCTTTGTGTTTCTGTAGAAATGGGCTGACCTCTTTTCCTGAACCTTCTAGTTCTATCACACATACAGTCTAATTCAGTTCCTTCCAAAAGTAAGGCGAAGGTCAGAACAAGTAGTATCAGACACATCGTCCATATGTGTAGTTTCAGAAGTCATGTTTTTATAGATGAGAGAAGAGCATGCTTTTTTAGCCCTGTGAATCATTTACACACTCGTTTTATAGTATCCCACGGTATAAGTGCATCATAGTTATGATGTACAAGAATTTAAACCCAACACAGTCTGCAAGCGGGAGTTTTTACTTCATTGGGCAGCAATATACGTTCTAGTGTTGTATCCCTGGCCAGGTGGCTCAGTTGGTTGGAGCATTGTTCAGTGAACAGGGGTTTCAGGTTTGATCCCCAATCCTCGGTAGAGGTATCTGGGGGAGGCAATTGATTGATGTTTCTCTTTCACATCAGTGTTTCTCTCTCTATCCCTCTTCCTCTCTCTCTCTAAAAATCAATAAACATATCCTCAGGTGAGGATCGGGGAAAGGAAATATATATAAAGTATTGTAGGAAATGATATGCATGTGCTGAATTAAAGCATTGGCACTAGGTGTCAGCAAATCACAATATCGGAGACCACCTCAAGTTGAACATTGGTAAAATAGCAATCAGTGGGCAGTATTTCACAAGGGCTCATCTCAATCAGCATTTTCCCATTCAAATACTAATTTCATCTGTCTTGACATTTGTGAAGGTGTGCTCCATGAATTCGATGGATATTAATAGGTATTATGTTGAGGAAAGGTTCCTATAGTCAAGGAAGTTTAGGAAATGATGAGTAAACTAAGTTTTCTTTTTTTTCCACTGTAGGTCTTCTCAGAAGCCTTCTATGCTGATGACATTGTGACTCTTTCCAGAGAGCAGCAGTGATGGCTCCAGAATGTCTAGGGAGAGGAAGAGCTTAGTGTCAAGAGTCTGCTCACAGCACAAGATACTCTAGGATGTGTCCTTCAGCGACATCTGTTTTGCACACTGTTTTATTTAGAGCTATACCAGGTATTTGGGGGTGACCTAGAGAAGCTAATAGAGATAATGGGGGTGGTTAGTGCCCTAAGCCATCCCTTAGGACAATTATTGATATATATAGCATTTCCATACTTTGGCTACAAAAACATTTTGAACCTGTATCAGAGGCACACATTTTAGAAAAAAACAACTGAACAAATAGTATCTCTCATTATGGTCTCTAGTTGTATCAGTGTGCTTGAAAAGGAGTTAATGTTTGCCCATATTTTCTGATAATTTATGGAGGGTTTTTTTTCGTTTAATGTTTTATATTTTTGTATGTGATGTGAGGGATTCAACTTATCTTTTTATTTTATATTGCAAAATACCAATTGTCCCAAAATCTTGCTTTAAATGTGGTTCTGGGTCCTAGCCGGTTTTGCTCAGTGGATAGAGCACTGGCCTGTGGACTGAAGGGTCCTGGGTTCACTTATGGTCAAGAGCACATGCCTGGGTTGTGGACTTCATCCCCTGTAGGGGGCATGCAGAAGGCAGCCAATCAATGATTCTCTCTCATCATTGATGTTTCTATCTCTCCTCCCTTCCTCTCTGAAATCAATAAAAATATCCTATATAATAAAAGCATAATATGGAAATCAACTGAACGGCTGAACAGCGGAACGACCATCCGGACGACCATCCGGGACCACACTGTGACACCCACTGGCTCCAGGCTAGCCAAGGCAGGTGCGATGTGATTGGTTGGGGGGCCCGGCCATCACCCCAGATCGACCCACAGAGGGAGGCCCAGGCCATTGGCTGGCGGGATGATCAATCGGGGGGGCTCCATGATCGCCCAGAAGAGGGAGGCCCAGGCCTCCAAGCAGTGAGCTACAGCGGGTGGGTGGGGGTTGGTGGGGCCTCCCTCTGCGAACCGAACCTGGAACCTTTCAGTCCACAGGCCGACGCTCTATCCACTGAGCCAAACCGGTTAGGGCGGAAGGCCCACTCTTGCACAAATTTCATGCATCAGACCTCTAGTATTTAATAAAAGGAAAAAAAAACTTAGTTAAATGTGGTTTTGGTTTTGTTTCCAGGTTCAGAACTCTTCAGGTCAACTTACCAATAAGTTGAATATGTAAAACAGATAAGCGCAGTTGAAATGGGGCAAGATAAGAGTTATTTCAACCTGATAGCATCCCTGCCATCATCCCTGCCCTCCACCCCTTTCCCCCCGCACCCCCCCCACCACCACCACCAGAAGAAGCTCCAGAGGGTACTTTGGAAAACATTGGAAAAATTCATCCCATCATATATAACTTAAAATGCCACATCTTTAATATGCTACATTAAAATTTTTACTTATTTCAATTATTTTTCTATTTTCTACCAAGCTCATACTCTAATTTATGGAGCCTAAGAACTTTATTATGTAACAAAAGAAGAAATTGAAACATCTAATAAGCAAGTAAAATAACAACATGGGGTCCTTGGGGACCTGTAAAATTAGCATATTTCTTTAGAATAGTACCCATTATTGGCAGTAGTTGACTAAATACCTTCAATACAGAGATTAACTTGGTAAAACTATGTGTTGGTTGATAATTTTATAATACGTGTTACCAGTTTACAACGGTGATATTCTTCAATCCACCAAAGCACTACGATTTAACCCTAAAGAAATAACCAGAAATGTGTGAAAATGTTTTTATATTGATAGTATTGGAAATGAACCAAATATTTAATGATGAGGGACTGGTTAAATAAATCCTACCTCAGTCATAACACAGAATACTCTTCAGCCATTACAATTATGTTGTAAAGAAAAATGTGCCATACCAAGCACCTTAGTTATATTGTCTTATTTTAAGCCTAACTATATCTCTAGATGATAGGTATTATTACTCTATTTGTAGATGAGAAAACCTGGAAGTAAAGTTAAAATAGTTAGTAAAGTTTTGTTGCTAAAATTCAGCCCATTTTGCTCTTAATCCTTGTTCTTTTTTTAAAAAAATATATTTTAATTGATTTTTTACAGAGAGGAAGGGAGAGGGACAGAGAGTTAGAAACATCGATGAGGGAGAAACATCGATCAGCTGCCTCCTGCACACTCCCCACTAGGGATGTGCCCGCAACCAAGGTACATGCCCTTGACCGGAATCGAACCTGGGACCCTTGAGTCCGCAGGCCGACGCTCTATCCATTGAGCCAAACCAGTTAGGGCTTAATCCTTGTTCTTAATCACTGTCCTACTGATATAGGGAAATATTTATTTTTTTACTACGTTGGTTTTTTATTTGTTTTTTTTAATCCTCACCTGAGGATATTTTTCCATTGATTTTTAGAGAGAGTGGAAGGGTGGGAAAAAGAAATAGAGAGAAAGGGAGGGAGAGAGGGAGAGAGGGAGGGAGGGAGGGAGGAAGGGAAGGAAATAGACACATCAACTGATTGCCTCCCACACTTGCTCTAATTGGGGATCAAACCTGCAATCCAGGTATGTGCCCTTGAGTGGGAATCAAACCTGAGACCCTTTGTTGCTGGGGGCTGACACTCTAACCATTGACCAACAAGGCCAGGGCTAAGTTATTGTTTTAATGCCGTTTAACTGATTAAATAAACAAACAAACCTTTCCTCCTATATGCAATCACTTCTTCCTTTCCAAATTTACTGATGCTTGGAAATTTTCTGCCCCCCCCACCCCCACCCAAGTGAATCTACTTTATTCAGTCTTAAAATTGATTTGGAAGTATTAAATGTCTGTTCGAAAAATTCAAACAATACTGAAAATTATAAAGTAGATGCATCTTTAATCATAAAATATATATTTGCATATGATTGGAAATACTTGTGGGCTCTGTTTTATATTCCATCAATTCTCTCTCTTCTTACTCTAAGGCCCACTTTATAGGCCTGGTTGGAGATGGAAACAGACCACAAAGGCAAACTAGGTGGAGGAATGTAGGTCTGGATGGCTAACTTTAACACAGAAGAGTCCATTTGTACTTGGTATAGCATGGTGGTTCTGGGACCCGACTGGTTAGAATGAAGTCCCAGCTTTTGAACTTGGGTAACTTGTTTGTCCTCTCGGTGCCTCCGTGTCTTTATAAAATTAAGGTGGTCATTGAACCTACCTCATAAGATTGTGATTAGGAATAAATTAATTAATGCATGTCAAGTGCTTAAAACAGTGCCTGGAACATAGTCAGTACTCAGTCATCCTGTATAATAAAAGGCTAATATGCAAATTGTCCCCTCGGGAGTTCAACCAACTGGGAGTTCAACTGCTCACTATGATGTGTGCTGACCACCAGGGGGCGGCACAGAATGAAGGAAGACCCCAGCCAGCAAATGGCAGCCAGGGGAAGGAAGGCCTTAGGAGAAGCCAGAAGGCCCTAATCGACCCTGATCACCGGCCACAGCTAGGGACCCTGCCCATTCACGAATTTTGTGCACTGGGCCTCTAGTTAGATATAATTGTCAAGATGATGATGAAGAAGGAGAAGATTCTGCACAGGTTCAGAGATGGGAAAGAAAAGAAAAATAACTTTTGCGTGCTTACTATGTGCCATATACTTACATGATCTCCCTGTTTGTCTGAGTTAGATATTTTAATCATTCCCTTTTTATGCAGATGTGGAATCTAAAATTCAGGGAGGTTACATATGGAAGCAGTAGACTGAATCACTAGACCCATTTCAAGAACTATGAACAAGATAAATACTGAAAGCCACCTGGCCAGGAGATAGCAAAATACTGAGGAACGATACGAAAAATAGGCCTACAGAGTCATGACGCCCTTTAGGACCAAGGGGGCAGTGTTTAACATTCAGGACTAATTGTGTGCCCAGTCTGATATCAGAAAACTGCTTTGGGAATCCAACTGGTGTATTTTCAGTAAACACTTTGTTTTGTTTTCCTTAGTTTGTGCTAAAATTATTTCTGAATTTTCAGTCTATTTGATTTGTGCTTCGAGGGAGCAAAAAGGAAAAAGGAGCCCTGGCCAGACGACTCAGTTGGAGTGTCATTCTGTACACCAGAAAAGGATGCAGGTTCAATCCCTGGTTGGGGTTTGTACTCAATCCTCAGGTGAGGTTTTTTAAAAAAGAAAAGGGAATCTGTGGCCATCTTCTGCTGGAAGAGCATGTCAGTTAGACACCAGGTGTGCTGGGCTTCCAATGCCAGCAGCCCAAGAGGGAGACGGAACAGGGAGGAGCATTCTCCTCCCCAGGGGCCTTTGGAGTCCTCTCTGCTCTCACCGCAGAGGGTGGCCTTTCACTTACTCATCTGTCCAGCATGACTCATCCCAAGAGTGTTGAGTAAGTGGAATTTTATGGTATTTATATTTTTGTGACTTTTATAAACATGGTGATGTGGAAAGAGCATGGACTTTGGAGTCAGGCAGACCTGAGGTAAACTCCTGGCTTTGTCACTTAGCAGTTGTGTAATTTTGGCCTAGATACTAACTTCTCTGGGCTTCTTCATCTACAAAATAGGAGTAATTAATTGTACTTAACAGAATTGGTATGAAAATGAGATGAGGCAGCAAAAAATGAAAGTGGGCAGCGTAAACTCTGGCACACTTTCTCTGGCAGATTGTGGGTTTGGATATGCATTCGGCCATGTCTTGTATTGATTTTTATACTTTTCTTCTGTACCAGTGCAGTGGTAGAGCTAACACTTTCTCACTTCACCCATCCCCTCTCTCCCTCCCTGCCTCTTCTGGCCTTTATCAGGGAACCTGCTGTCTTATTTGTTTTTGTTCTTTTACTACATATGATTAGATCTATAGCTATTGACTTTTCGTTGTTGAGACTTGCTTTGTGACCTACTACAAGATCACTTTTACAAATAACCTGAGAAAGAATGTGTACTTTTAAATTCTTTAATAAGCTGCTATAAACCACTTACAACAGTGCCTGGCACATTGTAAGCACCATATAGTGTTAAACTTTAAAAATAACCATAAGGTGTGCAATTATACATAAGTCCAGTAGCTCAAAGTTGTCAACTGTCTATGTTTGAGCTCTTAATTTTTAAACTAGTGTGTTAAATACTCCCTGTGATTAAAAAACAAAACAAAACTTCCCGTGATTGTGGATGTGTACATATTTGCATGTATTCTGCCAACTTTTGCTCCCTGGCACGGGAGTGAGAGATCCCAGTCAGTCGCCTGGATCCCATCCCCTGATCCCTCCCACGGGGGGTGGGGAGAGCTGTGCTTCATTGCACAGCAGAGGACTGGGACAGAAGTCAGGGCACTGACTGAGTGGAAAAGGCATCATAGTGCAATACAAGTTCATGAGCTCAAACACACCGAGAATCACAGTGGGTTGACTCCTTTTTGTAAGGTTTTGCTCTGCAACCTAATCATTACTTGCTGCATTAATATTTCGCCTCTCAAATGCCCTCTGCTCCCTCCACCCTAATTTCTCGGAAGTATAAGCCAACTTTTTGGATAATATTCAACAAATTCCTTCCATCCAATTTCAATATTTATATGATACCTATGGGACTGGAAGGTTTGGAAGAAATATTTCTTAACTGATTCAATAAAAATTGAATATTGTTGGCTGTGGTAAACAGAATATACATGGAGAAGAGTGGGGAAAATAGACATGAAACAAATAAACCCAAATGAATTATGAAAATTGCTACAGAAGAAAAGAACCATTTCTATAAGGTGAAAACAATGGGTGGGGAGTGTACTGTGAAGAAGTGATGGGGAGGATGTTCCAAGAGGAGTGAGCAGCTTAGGGAAAGTCATGGGCCAGGTCAGGCCTTGGCCATTGAAGGGCTGAAAGAAGCCAGTGAGGTGGGAGCATAGTGAGTGGCCCAGAGGAGGCAGTAGAGATGCAGGGCTGCCTTACATAGGGCTGTGTGAGCTGTGTTAGAGCTTTTTAACAAAAAGCTCTTATTCCAGAAATCGGAGTCCACTTAAGGGTTTTATTCCAGAAATCGGAGTCCACTTAAGGGTTTTAATCAGAGAATGAGGTGACTGGAATTACGGTGTGTGTGTGTGTGTTTAAATATATCTTTATTGATTTCAGAGAGGAAGGGAGAGAGTTACAGAAACATCAATGATGAGAGAGAATCATTGATCAGCTGCCTTCTGCACGCCCCCCACTGAGGATCGAGCCCGCAACCCAGGCGTGTGCCCTTGACCAGAATTAAACTTGGGACCCTTCGGTCGACACTCTGTCCACTAAGCGAAACAGCTAGAACTGGAATTATGGTTTTAAATATAACTCCAGCTAGTAGGTGGAGAATGACTAGAGATAAAGCGTGGAAGCAGCGATGCCATTCCAAAGAACTTTGGCAAATGGAGGTTTGTGGTGACTTCAGAGTACGTTTCCCTCTTGTAAAAAAGTTT